AACACATTTTATTGACTTCAGTATCACAGAACTATAAGCTAATGGTGCTACCTTTGTTATATATGACAAATAAAACCAACACCAGAAAAAAAAATATCACTGCATGTACTTTTGTTTCTGGGAAGCAGGCTAGACAATAAGCAGAAGCATGTTGTAATATATAGCATTTCAACAGTACACAGACAACACTTTAGCACGTAGGTTAAATTTGTATATTGACCAGATTATACTAAAACACAATAGAACAAAATTATATTTGAAAATGAGGCTCTTATTTAAATTGACTCAAAATGACCCACAAATCTAAATATTCCCAGAAGATGGGAAAAAAAAAGAAGTCACAGCAGAAAGGAAAAATACTATGAAGTGTTCATATAATTAATATTTGCAGTCCAGTGTGTTAATTATATTCACCTAATACAGAGCACCCATAACATCAATAAGTAAACTAAGCAAAAAGGGGATTTGTTATCACAATTTGGTACATGGGGAACTGCTGTACGTAATGACTCCATTTCTTGCCTGTGGTCACTCACATATAGCATGTGGCTGAGTCACAAATTGAACCTTTTTTTCTCTTCTGCTGCTGAATGTTTTAAACAAACCATCCTTCCTCCAGCTTCTGTGTTAGTAGTAATACTGCAATATCCAGTGCACTAAGCCTGAGCCACACACCCACTCCTCTCCATTCTTACATCATTAATTTTTTTCTAAATGCAAAAACTAGGAAAGAAACATACTCATCCCCATAACTTTATTGTTGTTATTGTTATTATTATTATTATTATTATTATTTCATATTTTCACTGTGAAGAATGCGTTTATGGGCTGCACCTTCCATCGAGGCAGCAGGATAGACTAACTCATCTGAGCTACTGTCGATTTGAGGTCATATTCCAGAGTATATCAATGAGCATCTCTTCAAATTAATAGATGAATTTTTACTTTAATGAATCAGCTTGTCATTGTTTGACTTTTTAAAGTGCTGTTTAATCAAAATGTTTTCCACTATCATTTTATATTCCCTATCTGGGAAGGAAGCATACAGAGATTCTATTTTCAACCACAGACACACTATTTTGCCAGCTCTTAAAGAAATGGAATTTGCAAGTGCTTGAAGGACATATCAAAGGAGACAGGTCTGACCATGACTGTCACTACCCAAACTGCTTTCCTGTGATGTATTCTCCTCAAAGCTTTATTCTTGTAATGACACAGAGTTAGAGCTCTCTCTTCTCACATTAGTGAGGACTGGAAAGCTGCTTGCCCACATGGCAACTGCAGTTTGCAAAGAGCACTACCAAGCACAAGAGGCAACATAACTAAGTTGTTGTCAGCCTGTAGCATTCAGAGTCCTACATGTATTTCATGGCCTTTCTCCAGATCCCTGGACTTGGATGGACAGTGTCAGGTACTGCTAACCTGTGTTTAACAGCTACTATTTTTATCATGCCTACTTTTCTGTAGGACAACTTCAATGGTTAGTGCTTCTTAATAACCTCACGAATAAGTTTAGGAAATGAAAACTGCTAAAATCCCACAAAGCAGAAAAAGGAGAAGAAAATGCATGAGATAAACTTCAGCCAGGTCTTCTGAATTTGGAAAATTGTGAACTTTTCTTTCCCCCAGAACTGTCTTGTTAATGTCTGTATCTTGACTGCTGCAAATACAATCACACGTCCTGCCCTGGGATACACGTATGTCATTCCTGTTGGCAATGCAGGGAAAATCAATTTTGTATGTCACTGAGAACTGTGACCCCTTGTGGAAGGCAACATTTGACTCTTGGGGTTACATGGTCATTTCTAATTTAGTAGAAAGGGGCACTGCATTAGTAAAAATAGAGAAACGTAAAGGATCACAAACCCAACCAATTCATCCCATCCACAGGGGCTACAAATTCCAGAGGCAGAGTTGATTCATTATCCTCATGTCATGTGTTTCTGGCCCATCCATTCTCTGGAGCACACAGGGATGTGCACTTGTATAACAGACAACTCAAATTCTTATCTAGAATCATGGAAATATAGAATGTTAAGGGGTTGGAAGTGACTTTAAAGATCATCTACTCCCAAACACCGCCCCCCCCCCAACATGGGCAGAACACCTCCCACTAGACCAGGTTGCTCAAGGCCTTATCCAGCCTGGCCCTGAACATTGCCAGGCTTGGGTACAAGCCCCAACCTTATCTAGATTCTAGTATATACAAGTTCAGCTGTTCTAACTCAAATTGGCTTATTCTAATGTAAAACAGGTATGGATTTAGAGCTCTGCTTCCTAGTGTCATAGAGAATACTCACTCATTTAATGTAAGTGAAAGAATGACTTAGTCTGACCTAGAAGGCTGAGAAACCAGTGGTCATGCCCACTGCACTGCCAGCCTGAACAGAAAGCAATGCACAGTAAAAACTCAAGGTTGAGTACTCTCTATAAAGGTTCTTATGGTTTCACTGGCAATTAAACCTCTATAATAGAGGAAAGATTGTAAATGCATTTTTAAAGGGAAAAGGTTGCCACCTATCTTTCATTTTTTTCCTCCTCTTTGTGTTACAACTTTGTCATCAGAAATAAAGGCTATGCTGCCTGCAGTTGGCTTTCTCTCTCCATTTTTCTGCACAAGAACTTGACCAAATTGAGCACTGCTTTTGCTGTGTTGGCAATTGTTGCAAGATTTGTAATAAATTCATGGTTAGGCTGCACCCATTAATTGAACTTGTGGGCAATGGTATAGCCAGTTAAATATTACCACTGCATACTAAAGAAATTTCCCTACCAGTTGTAAAGTACAGTGTTAGGACAGATAACCAGCACTCTTAGACTATGTACAGACCTTAAAAAAAAATGCCCAAAGGAGAAAATTTCGAACACCTGTACCCTTGAAAAGTAAGTTTTTGATTAAAAAATTATTTAAGTTATATGAAAATAAGAAATCAGTTGAGAACTTTTCCCTCCTAAACATGAATTCTGGAGATAGAGTAAAATTGGATTAAAAAAAGCTTCATCACAATTATGGTTGAGGGGAAATCTAGGTTGCAAACTATGTGATGGTGTCCTTTTTATTTATCTGATAATGGAAAATTCTTTAGCTAATCACATATCATCCTGTCTGCATTTGATAATTTATTTATTTTAAAATACCCACATTTCAGAAGGATTACTTTTCTAGGATTTTCAAGAAAATTTTGAAAAAAAAATGCCAGTTAGGCACTATTTTTTTCTACCACCACTGCTGAAGAGTCCTCAACTCTCCAAGAACACATCAGCTTCCCTGGAAATTCAGCAGTTGTCATCTGCAACACTATAATATACTTCAAAATGTAGTTTTTACTTAGTTAAATATGGCCATAACATAATAAAATAATGAGCTAAGAATTTAACCACATAAAATGAACAGAAGATGGATTAGCCACAGCAGACGGTTATTATTAACTTTTTAAAATTAATTATATTGTTTATAGGTTTCAAACTGTAGTCTTCATGGTTGTAGTGATATTTTTTTAAATGACAAATTTGCTTCTGTGAGTACTGTGTTTTACTTGACAAATCAGAACATTTTATCATTGCCTTGATCTAAAAAAACCCACCAAAAACTCCTCCTTGTGCCCATATTGCCAACAATACCTGTTACATGTGTGCAGTAGTTGCAATACTGTTGGATTTTGCTTCTTTTTTTATCCTGGATCTCTGGCACTAATGAGCATTACTGGGGTTATAATAAGTATACTCTTATGCTAATGACCCTTCCAGACATTCTTAGAAGTGGGATTTAATCTCAAAACTTATTTGTACTTGCATTTCCACTTCAGCTGTGATGTTTCTCAGCATTTTCAGACAAACTTAACTCATAATAAATCTCACATAAATATGTTTTTGATTTTTGATTTTCTGCATACAGATAATAATTTTTAAATGTTCTTCTCCACCTTCCTTTCTAATCAGTTGCAAATGGAACTCCTAAAATTAAGAATTTATATTTTTTTTATCATCAACTTCCAAAAAAAAAAGGAAACACTTGAACATCTTTTTTTAGGTGGATCTTTTCAAAGCTCCGTTCTTTAACCTTATGAAAGAAAAAACCTACAGTAGCATTCACAACAACTCAGCTTTCAAAGAGCATCCATTCATTACCATATAAATAGCACAGACACTTACTCAGTATACCTTCCTCTGCCTATCATTCCTCTGTCAAGCCTTTAAGTTCAAAAGTGCACCCTTTTTTTTTTGCCAAAACCAGAAGACCCATTTTATGTCTACTAAGCAATTATTTTATGAGGGAAGAGCAACGGAACTTCAGTCCATTTTAAATGATATACTGCCTGTCAGACAAGTAGATCTGTTCTGAAAGTCATGGCCCTGACAGTCGGACATGGCTTACGTGACTCTGCTTAATTCCATGTCTACTGTCAAAATAGGTGAATACTGTCAACAGAAAAAAACGATTCTCGAGGTTTCAGAATATTTTGGATATAGATACCATTGACATATGCGGCAACAGACGAACATGTATGCAAGACAGTATTTACTTTCATTTCAATGCCTGTTACACACAAACAAAATCTCCTAGTTTACATGCTACCTCTGTTGCCCTATTGCATTCTAAATCCCATTATAGTATTATATTATCTACAATACTGTGAAATATGAGGGAGATCAAAGTCCCTCTGTTGGACATCAATTTAAGCAAACTGCTTAAATTTCAAAAAAGCAAACTGCTTTTTTTTTTCTTTCAAGTTTTGCTTTCTAGAACTGCAGAAGAAATAAGATTATTATTATTCTAGAACCAGTGTTTATGGGAACTACAACTTTGAAACACTTCTTCAGAAATTAATTCGGCAATACATAGTTGAATTTCTCAGCAATAATGCAGAAGACACGAACCAAGCCACAAATCTATTTACAGGAAGACTGCTCTTCACACTTTGCAAATGGCCTCAGCAGCATTAATTCAGATAGCCTGTTGCCACTAAGAAAACAGATTTGTTCATCTCCACCCTACTTACATGGCACTGTGCGGAGGTAGAGATTGTCTCTTATGATCTGCTGGAGCTCATGGTCCACCGAGCCTTTCTGGAACCGTAAATTGAGGTAGTGACGAAGGTCCTTATCAACAATGCCTCCTGTCAGGGAAAAGACAAATGAAAGCATGATTTAAAATTATATTGCCTTGATGGAAGCAATGAATCACTTGTGAAGTCTTTGTGGCTCATTTTCCTTCATGTTTCTGTAACGATGAAGGACAGAAGCACAAAGAGCTTTCTGGTTAAGGTATGAAGTTGGTACTATATTATTAACTATTGATAACTGTAAAGTTTAAAAACAGCTAATGAAAAATAACTGGCTACATCTTTAAAGTTCAGAAAATACATATAGGATTATAGACAGAGTTTCAATTTTTCCTCTGCCCAAAACTTGAACATATTGTTATTATATAATTACCTACATATGTATCTAAATAATACATTATTAGGTATAATACATTATTGGGTATTATGTTTCCCATGTCCTTGTGCCAATTTCCCACCTGCTTATTAAACAAAAAATCCTGGTTCAAAATGTCTCTGCAATGTTCAGTCCATGTGTAACCAGAATAAAATGTGGTTGTACTTAATGATCATATAAATGTTTCTCATAGACCTCACATCTGAATGAGATGTTATCACAAACAAGGGTTCATATTTTATTTACACCACCAAAAAGAGTCATTAGTAATACAACAACTCAGCATAGAACTGCAAATATGGAAAAAATTGAGTTAAAAAGCTGTATTTGCCACTTTTACTATAACTTTAGGACAAAACAATTTAAACTACTGTTTAGCCAATGACTGGTGTATCATGTTCCACTATGAAAGGCATATCTACAAATCTAATCCAACACAATTAATAAGCATCTCCTGATATAGTTCCTCTTCATTTCTTTTCATACTGAATATGGATCACATTTATAATTATAAAGAAAAAGTCTATACATAACTCAATTTCTTCCCTCTCTGATATTCTGACATTACAAAAATATAGAAAATCATTACTACTCTGAGTTCTGACATATAATCCCGAGATGAAAAATTGCAAGCAGATAGATCCCTAACTTGTTGCTTCACACATTCAACCTTAAAACATTTTTCAAATGGCATTTGCTATTGAACCCTCTGCCAAAAGCCTTACTGACTTAGACTATATAAAGATTTTCCTGTAAAAAGGAACATAGAACATTCCTACCTGATTATTTGAAAGTCACTGCAGAGCACAAATGGTTATAAATGAAAATACATTTCTCCTTACAGTTATTCCTATTTATCTGCCAATTACAAGTCCATAATCTTATTATTGCTGTTCTTTGTCAATAACTTCAAAACCTTTTGTTCCAGGTTTATAAAAAGCTCATAAATAATTTCTCTCATCTTTAGCTAAAGGCAAAAAACCACTGAAATTTCATAATCAAAAGGGGGAAAAAAAAGTGCACCCCAGCTCATAACAGATAAAAAGAAATACCTGCAAGCCCAGTTCCCAGAGGGTGAGAACTTCCATATGGATCTCTGTTCTTCAAGGATCCCAGCTGAGCCACTTAGTCTACTACTTTGTACCACTAACACTGTTTAGAGCAGTGGGCTCGGATTGCAGACCACACCATCCTTACACCTGCTAATTTCTTGAGAGATTTCAGAGGAGGCAAGGCAAGGGCTAGAGGAGGCTGCAGAGAGATGCTCTGAATCCACTGTCCTTTCTGATCGGCTGCAGAGAGTAAAGGTCCTGCAGCTCTTGCTCTTCTTGCTCTAATATACAGAACATGCCCAGTGATGCAGATGCTTTCTGGCAGCCTCAGAAAATGCCAGCTCGAGAACAACAGCTGTAGCCTGCCCACTGACACAAACCTGAATCACTCAACTTATAACGTAAGTAACTTTAGGAACCTACACAGATTTCTGACTCTCAGAGTGCATTTTTTATTTACAGCCTTTTGCTTCAAACAAAGCCATTTAGTTCATTTAGTTCACCATGTGTAATGAATGCACTAAAACCTCCTAAGCACTTCATAAAAAGTCACCTGATATTTTTGGCACATTGCATATTCCAAACTGGAGTACAAAATCATATATTTACAGCAGGAGATGCCTACAGCCCTGCATTTGTTACATGCAGATTCAAAAGCAAGTTTCTAACAGAAATAAAACCAGTACATGGTGCAGAGAAAAAAAAAAAACTTACCAGCTTCCAAGCACAATGGAAAAAATATGATTTTTTCCTAATATCTGAGTATATACTGTAAGATTAGCAAAGTCAATTTTAAAGAGCAGTCAGATGAACTACAGACAAATTTTCTTCTTCAAAAGTCATTCTGTTTTCTGAACTAGCTGGTGTTTTTCAATTCTTTGGGCATAAGTTACCTTTTTTTTTAAGTCTGGTATAACAATGGCTTTTTCCTTTTGGATATTTAAAAAAAATAAAATAGTTCTAGAGTCCTGAAGAGTAGTTTTTATCTTTAGTTCATCCTTCCAACTGTCATTCTGCTATTCTCCCCTAAAAAACTTTGTAGATTTACCTGATGCTTTTTAAAAGCACATCTGACTCCAGATGTGCTTTCGTGCTATTTATAATACTTGAGCTTTGGAGCAGCCTGATCCTTTGATCCTGAAAGTACAATCAGAACAACATTTTGTATGTGCAATTATGGGGCCATAAGACTTTTTGTAAGAAAACTATAGTGAATTGCAAGTACGTAAACCAGCCTTGATTCAGCATCAGTGAATTACAGCTTATGTTACAGACTGTATAAATAAAGAATGAGTAATAATAATAGGATTACGTCCTCAAAAAGGATGAAAATAAGAGACAGAAAATAGTATCATTTGGTTTACGTTGGAGGGAAAGAAGAAACTTCATGACATTGTCCGTAAGTTCATAGAAAAAGAAACAGGGAGAAAGTGTTTTTACAGACAGTGACTACCACTGAGTGGTCCCATCCAATCCAGTTGGTTTCTGACTTGGTTTCTATACAACTCAATATCCCTTTATTTTCTCTTTTTGCAGTACATTGAAAACTGTTGAGACATTGAAAAATTCCTGACATGAACCTAACCCCCTTGTTTTCTGTCATTCCCAGGCAGCCCACAGTAGAGCAGTTCAGAATGATGCTCAGGGCCCACGAGTGCCCATGGCACCGTGGCACAAATGCACAGTGGCTCATGAGATGGAGCTCAGAGAGAAGGAGCCCACCAAGGCCACATCCTGCTCACCACATGTGACAGCAAAAGGAAGCACTGTAGTGTGTCAGAGGAATTATACAGCTCAAGCTTTAGAAACCCAACCCAGAGACCATAATTTAAAGGGTTCTTTGGCCACTGCCATGAGAGGAGGCTGACAACTGTGTGATGGAGCATGCACTGACTTGCAGCCATGCAGGGCTTCTATTTTTTTTTTTCTTTTTGCTGGATTGAGGCCTGTGCACTGTTTCAGTTTCATTTCACTCCAGTGAATCCCTTTGCTTTGCTAGCTGGGAAAGATAGGATGTGAATTAAATACTTTCAGTAATGATCTCTTGCATAATGTATGTCTGGTTTAGGTACAGCTACCAATCATGATGGCAAACTCATACCCATGACTGAATTTGATTCCAGATATTATAAAATTAGATATACTTGGATGAACTAAAAAATGCTCTGTTTGCATGTTATACTTATGAATTTAATGAGTAAAGTATATCTTTTTACGGTGTTTTAACGCATTTCTGTCAAGTCTCCTCCCCTTCATAAAATCTAGTATAAAATCAAAGTCCAATCAAAGTCCAAAAAAAATACAATAAAGAATACACAGGCGAATACTTTGGAGCTCATTAGAGGATTCAAAACTGAAGAAGATAACTGCCATTTCCAAGAAAATAGCAGGGATAAAGTTTTATAGTTTTCTCTAGCCCTAAATATTGTAACTGTTATTTTGTAAGTTCCTATTTGGTAACCCATTGATGCTGCAGCTGGAGTCTACTCTTGTATTTTATTTTCCATGAAGGACTAATTCTAAACACAAACATTCCTCTTGTTGTTCCCTCAGTGTTAGTTCTAAATAATTTGTCTTACTCTTAACAAATTTTCATGGTTATAACTTTTCAACAAACACTTCTGAGTATTCACCCATTAGTATTTTCTCATCTTGTATCATAACCTTTCAGTGAACTGTCTTGTTAAAATGTGGTGGGGTAAATTGTTTTTTAACAGTACAGTCAATTGCATCTCAGCCAAGAATAATTTGCCTTAGATATTTTATTTGCTGGTAATAAAATGTAAAAGATTTCAGTTCCCTGGCTCCTATAAATATTCCTGGTTAGAAATACCTATAAGCAAGCAGGACTTTTAGATCTATATTTGCATCTATACATGACCTGTGTCTGGAGAAATTAAAGGTAATATCTTGGCATTGTTACCCTGTGAAAGCAGACAAGCTCATAAACGTTCAGCATAAAATACCTCCTCTCTTCCACTGCCTGACCTGCATCAGTTTGGATCTCCCTTTGTTTTCAACAAATTTCCATTTCTGACTGTAAATATAAGCCATATATTTGGCGAAGTCAAAAGCCTTGAATGATGAGGCTTTCACTAGCTTCAGCAGGACTATTCTACTGGAGAGTCTCATCTCAAGTATTTACTCAGGTGGTACCTGGAGCTTTATATCCATACTATGGTATGGTTCCATGGACATCTGACAACAGCTCAAGTTTCTTCAGAACCTCTTCAGTGGAAGATATGCAATTTGGTGCTAGATTAACTTATCTTCATCATTCACAGATGACCTTTCAATCAGTATCCTAAATTAAGACCTGGATTCTTTAAATCAGCTATCAGGAATAATTGATTTTTTAGTTCTTTTCTTCACTGAAGAGATAATAAAGTTTTTTACCCATGAAGGTGAGTGCAAGAATATTTTTTCTGTGAGTCTTTCTGGAATATATCAAGGAAATCTTAGTCATCACAGATAAAAAGCTGTATAAGGATCTAGAATACCTGCAATTATCCTATAGAACCTCTCTTAATCATTCCAATAATTTCAGTGACACCATGTCCACTTACCTATAAGCATCTCTGTGATTCTTTCATTCTTTTGTATACAATCTAACATTGTATATGAGG